ACCCGCTAACCACTAGGCACACTTTGGGTGTGAGAAAGACAGCACTGGATTTCAGGGGCTGATATGTGTTGTGTTTTTTAAAAGCCAGCATCTACGGTTCTTGTAGCTGCTGAATTTAAATTTTACCCTAGCCTAAGGTTACCAGATTTTTGGAAGAAAAAGCAGATATCAAAGCTGTAAAGACAAAGTACCCTAATGTGGTGTGCATAGCGCACCCTGGCGCATCATGCATGTGGCCAAATTTCAGTAACAGTGGGAGCAGCTGAAGAGGTATGGTTAAATAAAGCCTGAACCTATTCTGCTAAGAGTCAAGAGTGCGTAATGCACAGAGTACGGGGTTCAGGGATGCGTAAAGGGTGTAGAGGTCATGAATGTGTAACTCAGAACACAGGGGTCAAATCTGTGTGGTGCAGAGAACAGGGGTATTTAACACACAGGGTGCAGGGGTCAGGAGTATATAATGCATGGAGTACAGGGGTCAGGAGTAGGTAACACACAGAATGCAAGGGTCAGGGGTAGGTTATGTACATGGTGCTGGGGTCAGCAGTAGGTAGTGCACAGAGTAAAGGGACCAGGAATAAGTAACACATTAAGTACAGGGGTCAGGAGTAGGTAACACACAGAATGCAAGGGTCAGGGGTAGGTTATGTACATGGTGCTGGGGTCAGCAGTAGGTAGTGCACAGAGTAAAGGGGCCAGGAATAAGTAACACATTAAGTACAGGGGTCAGGAGTAGGTAACACACAGAATGCAAGGGTCAGGGGTAGATTATGTACATGGTGCTGGGGTCAGCAGTAGGTAGTGCACAGTGTAAAGGGGCCAGGAATAAGTAACACAATAAGTACAGGGGTCAGGAGTAGGTAATACACAGAATGCAAGGGTCAGGGGTAGGTTATGTACAGGGTGCTGGTGTCAGCAGTAGGTAGTGCACAGAGTAAATGGGCCAGGAATAAGTAACACATTAAGTACAGGGGTCAGGAGTAGGTAACACATGGAGTATGATCCTAATCTTGTTATTGAGATGCTAATGTTACCTCAATAACTATAGTTGTACAGTGCAACATGCATTATAATGTCTGCCAAATATGTGTGTATGTGCCAGGGGGGCAGAAAGGAGAAATCTGGTTTTGAGCATGTTGTTATCCTATTAATGGGAAGATGAACTGTTATTAAAAAAAAAAAATCAAATAATTACACCATACATTTTATTTTAAAATACGTTACAAAATTTCACATTTGTTATATAATCTTTATATCGGTGCATTGTAGTCATAACAAAAATATATGAAAAAAATCCCTGCAGAATTCATGAAATATAAATACAGCACTATCATTTTCTCAAATAACCTGTATACAAATAAGAGGGGTACATGTTTATATTTTAGCTTTCTGATTTTTACCCATTACCAAAGAAAGCATAGCTTAAATGGCTACATTTGAATAATGTGCTACACAACTATTAATTGCCCGCACATCTGGTTATTACACATGAGCTTGTGGACTTCAGTTTCCAAACATATTAATGGACATGTAGGTTTGCAGTGAACACAATGCTCCAAAAAGGAGAAAGCATGACAACGGGAAAGGGTTAAACGACAACGTTATAGCCCTGTACACCTGTATGTTATGATTTGAGACTGATCTTTGTAGGAAATGCCCTAAAATACCTTCATCTCTTGCTGCTTCCTGCACTCACACTGCAGTGGTCTATACTAGCATAACTAAGTAGCATCATTAGTGTCCTCAAACAGACTTTTACTGCAGAGAAAGAGAAGGGTGTGTCTGACCAGGTCTATTACTGAGAGTTGATTACCGAGTGTGGTAGGTGAAACTCTGGTGCCTATTGGACTACACATTCATATTTAGACACTCTGCACAACTCCTGTAACAGACAAGTGAAGGTAAAGGTATGCAAATGGTGTTAGTACAATGTCTATCTGATTACATATCTATTTCTGTGACTTAAACTGGGCAATAAGCATTGCCTGTCCTTCTAAAAGCATCACTTGTATCTTACATACAATTCTAGGCAATCTTGACAGTGCAAAGTGGTTAGGTTGTGATATCTACGCTTGGCAGACATTGGTGTCCGAGAAGCTGTGAGGGAAAGTGAAAGTTGAATGGAAAGAACGACTAGGAGTATGGGTAGCTAATGGATACAAACGTGTGGCCTTATAAATGAAGAACAGGATACCCCCACAGAAAGCAATCAGTATCTCCTTCATGTGATGCTTTTATTCGCTAGCAAAAGTAAAGGTAGTAAAACTGGATCTTATCAATAGTCGGTCACATTGGGGTTGATTTACTAAACATAAATAGGCTGCGTACTTGAAATGGAATTTGCACTTTGCAGGGGATGTTTCCTCTAGCTTAGAGAATGAGAGGAAGCTTTGCTGACTTCCATCATCCAATATGTGCAAGCAAAAATACTGTTTTTTACATTTTCTTTGCATGTGATTGGGTATTCTTTGCAAAATGAATTTTCACCACGTTCACTAGGTTAAGGGTAAATTCCACTGCAAAGTCAAAAGCCTATTTCCCCTTAGGGCCAGTTCACACCATATGCAGTTGTGATGCAGTCCGTTTATTTGACTGCTGCAGTCAAAATACATCACAATGCTTTCCTATGGGCCGCATCACAACTGCATATGGTGTGAACTGACCCTTAGTAAATCCACCCCACTGAATAACAAATCTTGCAGCCTGCATTTTTACCTAATCTCTTCCCGAGAGTTCCCAGAACAGTGCCTGTAATCTCATTCATGTACCCTTTTAGCACCGAAAGCTTTACCTCTACAATGAACCATTATTTAAAACAAGCACACTGTTTGCCCTTGCCTATTAGCTTTTCCCTTTGCAGCATTGTGTCTACAATAAAACACTGCCCCGTAATCCATATTCCAAAATTAAGGGAACGTTACATTTAAAAAAACAAAATGTTGCCAAACTATCTAGAAAAAAACTACAGTTGTGAGAAAAACAAATTGATTTGAAATTTTCTGGATTTCAGTTTAAATAGCTCTTAAAGTATGGCCAGGACTCCTACAAAGTCATACATCAGACTCTTATTTAACAAACAATAAACAACATATCACATTGCCATAACTAGCTATAAATGGTTTCAACAATCAAGGCCATCAATGAACCCTTGTATTTAGTGACTAAAGGATCTGACCGTTACTCGTGATAACCCCAACAACATGTTTACTCTAGCTGCTGATTACACCTTGCATCTGGTTAGACTATATTTTGGCACATTTCTATATACAAAGCTCTGTATATTTTTTAAGATATGTTACATCACCCACAATAAACTAGGCTGTACTCAAATATGGAATTTTGTCTGCCTATGTTGTTAATTCATTGTTTTAAATCATTGTCAAATTGGATGAATCAGTTTGTTTTGCATTTTCCTAATGCAGCTTGAAATTGATGAGTCCCTTAATGACTGCATGCCTCCCCTATTCTTAAAGCAACAAAGTGGCTTCACCCCATTAAGCCCACTACAAAATGGGAGGATAGAATGGAGTTGGTTAAAAGTACAACTTTTGTTGTATATGTTTGCAGCATGTTGTTCTAGTAGGTCTGCACAACATCAGGGTACTCTTTACTAAACCTAAGACTGTCCGCGGGTAGCAATTTCCTTCCATGTACATCGCCCTCATTCAGTCTTTTGCTTATTACAGACTAATGAACACAGATGATACTGAATGTAAAATATGCTTGTAAATCCTTAGCTGGTCCTTTTTGTTTTACCTGTATAGGGCTTATACCGGGTGCCTTTGCACCGCTGCTCCTGTAGGATGCTCTTTCTCAGGGAAAGGGCTATCTCACTGGAGTTCCAAGTGCTATTCACCTGGCTGGGTTATTACAGTGGATAGAAATCTTTTTGTAACCAATTCCTATGAGCTTTGCTAACGACTCTTGAGGTTTACTAAAATAAAATAAAAATCTTTGAATCTGGCCATATTGCACATCTACAGAATTCTAGCAGTACACAAAATGTATTTTATTTTCCTTTAGAAAGCAAAGCAGGTGAAACACACTGAACAGAATTGTAATACCCGACTCATCAACTGTAACATTTGACTTGAATTACTCTATTTAGTTCCCATTCTTTTCCTTTTAATGACCTTGATTGTTGAACCATTTGTTCAATGAAAATATGGCCATGTAAGTGCTGTGTGTGTGTATGACATTGATGAAGATCAGATCACAGTTTTGAGGCCAGAAAAATTCTAAGGGCCCATTCATGCCAGATACATTGGGGCCTTGTTTTAAATTGTTGCCGTTCACACCACCATGTTGCAAAGGTGTGCGCTAACAAAACGTACTGATTACAGTATTTTTATTTTACAGCACAGCATGGTGTGACATGGTACAACCATAGCGCATCACCTATAGAACCTAATGAAGTGTCACAAATCAAGATCGGCACTGTAGCTATCAGCGCACTGGAGCAGCAATGCATTGAGCACAGCTTGCTGGTGTAAAAGGGCCCTTAAGCGTCACAAATTTTTCTCCCAACTGCATGACATACCTTATAATAATACATGAGTTATAACAATGATCCCACTACTGACCTGTGGAGTGACTGCGCCACTACTTACCAAATCTAGCAACAAACACCATCAGTCTTTTACTAAAAGTTTGACATCGTTATTTACCAAAATACAATACATGGTACAGTAGATCATCACGGTATTAAAGGTGCTCATGTATTACATGGATAATAGAAATACCCTTGTGCTTGTTTTAAATGCAAAAGCAGAAAAATTTTATCTATGAACAATGTGGAGACTTCATTACCAAAAACAGCAGAATTAAAAACAAACCAACCCACACAGCTTCCTATGTTTAGTTAGGTAACGTTTCTACAAATCTGAAACAAATGTCAAAATGAACTCGCAGCAAAACATTTGCAGCGACTTCAGGATGACATTCTGACAACAAACAACTATTACAAAACAAAACAAGGTATGAATATACCTTTCATGGTTGAGATGATAACCATTGCAAGGCTTTTGAGACAATGAAACATATGGTTTAGCAGTTCTGTACTGGACTGTACTCCAGAGTAGTCAATCAAATTGCTTCAGTAGAAAAGTTTCTTCAGTAGACAAAGGCACATCCTGGCACAGACAAGTAACCAATCTATGGAAAGTCAGCAAAATAAGAAAGTGGTGGCATTAATGGCTTTCACAGCAACTGTGCCTAGGGTTTTCAGCTACCAAGGGAGGTAATTTTCCGAGTATGAAATGTTGCTTTTTTCTGATCATGGCGTAGGCTGCGAATGGTACTGTTAATTGCTGCCACACAAGCTTTCCAGTCATGGCCACACTCCTTCAGATCAAACGTTGGGTAATTCATCTGTAGGAAATCTGTGGTAAAACAAAACATAAGATATTACAGCTTACCAGTGGGCAAATTTCAACACTACCTAGACCAGCATTTAGGCGTAGCAGATGACAATGAAAGCTACTGCATGTTTGTGTAGGCACATCTAGGTCCTAGCAGCTTTCTTTTCCTTATGAAGTAATACTGCCTCAATAATTACACATGCAGTAATGTACTACTGAATAATAAGGGTCATCTTAATCTACAGCAGGATATGCAACAAAGTCCCTTGACTTTTCTAAATAAGCAATTCTAAATGCATCTATACAGAGTGAAATCTAAAGCTGGTACAACCGAAGGCACAAAGAGAGCATACCTCTTAAAGCACCGATCCTGTTGGAGTCTAAAGGCAAAACGCCACGCTCTAGGTTCCCATATACATTGCTTTTCACTAGTACATCCTCTGGGAATAGATGCCTGATTAAATATCTAGCAGACAGTTCTGGGCGAGGCTTCCCTTTGCCTATATAGATCACTGAGAATGGTAACTGCACATTCCTCCAAGGTTCACCGAAACACTCTGAAAAGCAATGAGAACAAAAACCTGTAAAATCTGTAGTATGATCAAAATAAACGCTAGAAATGGTATTCTTGCTGAAATATCTAAAAAATACTTAAATAAGAAAAACCTATGTCAAATCTTTTTATTTTTAATGTGAACACAAGAAATCCCATCTTTGGACATTTGCAGCAGCTTCACTGACCATGCTTGCACAATGTGTGTCAGCATGGCCACTTGTAGGTACCACCATGGGTACGCATTAAAGGGTGAAAAAGCCGGAGAACAGTTGTCATCCCATCACATGAAAAACCTTCATAGTTTACTTTTACCTTTCAGCAAAGTAAAAGTAAATACAATACAATGTACCTGTTTTTTCCAATGTTGCAGCATATTTTATTTGTCATATTTGAAATTATCATACCCGTTAGGTATAGTGGGGGGAATTTATCAACGCAATTGCAACAGTTTTAGCCTCTTAGATCATTTCTTTTTATGTGCAAATCTGTCTTTTAACATGTGCGCCTGTTTTAACCTGAGCTTGCACTACTTTTTCAATTGCACGTGTTCTGCAGCTGTCTAAAACTGGAGCATCACCTAACAAAACTATCGCAACTTAAGAAGTCCCCATGACCACTTCTTCAAGAAGCGACAGTTAAGCTTTTTGCCTGGAGTTCCGAGTCTTCTCTCCTTGAGTCTATTTAACCTCATTTATGAACAACATCACAATAGCATCATAAATCTGGTGCAAAGTGCGTCAAATATATTCTGTGCAAGTTCAAATACTCACAATCTCGATGATAAATTCCCCCCAGTGTATACCGTGTTTCCCCGAAAATAAGACACTGTCTTATATTTTATTTGGCTCAAAAAAACACACTAGGTCTTATTTTCGGGGTAGGTCTTATTTTTCTTTTTAATGTACAACAATCCACACTTATTCATGTAGAAAAGTCTACATGTATTCATGTACAAAAATATGGTGATCAGGGCAATCAGGGGTGCCGTAGCTTTACAAGAGCATTTTGCTAACCAATCGCTGGCCAGAATGAGCGAAGTGCACTTTCACTATCGATTCCTCACAGGCGGAGCACATTTGGTATCACTCCTCCTGTGACAGGAGCCGGTGCTATAGAGGAAGCATCGGCTTATGCGGCTCTGCTCCCTCCAGTGCCGCCTCGCTTCCTCTAGCGCCGGCTTCGTTGGCACCCCTGATTCTCTCCTGCCTCTTCCGCGGCTCTTCAAGTTCACCCTTATGCCACCACCGGCCCTGGGAATTGTCACAACTAGGTCTTATTTTCGGGGTAGGTCTTATATTTTAGAAATTCTCACAAATAGTACTAGGTCTTATATTCGGGGTAGGTCTTATTTTCAGGGAAACAGGATAGTATAGTGTAAGTGCTGGGGGATTTCAGTTAAGACACCATGGTGTACATATATGGCTTGGAATAGCCCCTCCATTATGTGTTGATTCATGCATGTGTCCTTAGTGGTCGTCAGTTTGAAGTCGTTGATAGTGGTGGCTCCTGCATTTATAATCATTGGAACAAATTGTTGTAGTGATCATTTAAAAAACTTAGTAACATTTTGTAACCAAGTAACCTGATTGCAGCTGTTACTACAGATCAAAGGTTTTTTTTTGGTAATCCGTTTGTAACTTTAACTGCAGAGAAGCCGATGAAAAAACATTTAGTTCTTTCTTTATAAATAATCATTGTTTTTATTGTACTTCTAATTACATCCTTCATCACGTTCTCCTGTTGGCAATTTTTCATTTTTGCCAAATGTTATTTTTGTTTTACTGTTTCAATGCATTTTTCCATTTCCATTTGTTTCTTTTTCTTATAGAGTTCTGTTAAAGAAGAACTCTGGGCAAACAAGAAACTTAAGTGCTCATTTTGTCTAGGGGCACTATTGAAGCCGTTTCACTTAGCTGATCCTTGGTTCTGCCGGCTCTCTCTAGGCTACTGGACCAGTTTCAGAAGCCTCTTCTCCCCTTCCCTCTAGTGGTCTAAGGACCGCTGACATCATCATGTCTTGTGTAGGCCATTGGCCTGAATTAGATGCGAGGACGTCGAGGGACATTGCAACATCGTGAATAGAGGGAGAGAGGTAATCGCTAACCGCCACAGGAGCCGGGATCAGGTAAGTAAAGCAGGTTTATTTGAGTCCCCTAGACAAAACGTTTCTTCTTTAAAAGAATGTAAAAAAGCAGCAATATGGCCTTACTGTGGCCAAAGTGCTTCTGTAAATAAAAAAGCTATATTTAATAAATGGTAAAAAAAAAAAAAAAGCACTAGGATGAGAAGAGCCCATCACGCCACCTGTTAAAATCACGTGTCCGGGCTCTCCTCCAATCATGTAGTGTTCTCTGCAGCATGAATGAGTTGTAAAATGCAGGCACTACAGTGTCCTACAGAGGGCAAGTAATAATATCCACTCTCCACTATAAATTAGCTTAAAGAGTGTCTTTAAGAGAACCCATAAGGATAAAAAATGGGAGCTGCTCTGATGTTATTATTTGGTTCCGGACTTTACTGCGTGGTGAGTAACTAACCCAGAACAAGCATTTGGGAAAGGAATTCAGACTTTAAAGAGTTCTCGAGCTGCAGTTTTCTTCTAGGTCTGTGATGCAATAGAGAATAAACCAGAATCAGGATGACAACCCTGAAGCCCACATATTTAAAAACTAGTCACTTCCCGTATTTCTCACAGACAAATTATTAATATGATGTTAGCAGCTGAGAAATATTACCTATAGGATCAGAAGAATGATGTTTCACTGGTGTGCCAATGCCTGGAGGTCCTGGAAACCGGTTATCCTTCTGTTTGTTCAATATATTTGCTTGTAAAAAGCTGGGATTTTGTGCATCCTTTTTATTATTTTCAGTGACAGCCTCATGATCCTCCTCAACTGCATCATCAGAATCGAGACAAATGGAATCTTCTGGTGCTTGGGATACAGCTTGATTAGGGAACATATTTACCTTCAAGGGAAAAAAAACTGAACTGAAACAGTTACCTATGTCAGAGCTCATTCATCATCATGTATGCTGGGCTGCATTGCAAGTAAAAATACTATAGGGTCTATTCACGAAGCTGCCGAAGGATCTAGCCGTAGCTTCGGCCGATCCATCGGCTAGCTTCGGCCCCAGGACCCCTTCGGTTCAGTAGAACCGAAGGGGTGCTGTACGGGATAGGGCTCATTCCATACCAACACTCTGCGTTGGCGTGTGCAAATATAAAGCAAGCTGCATTTAAAAGCAGCACAATGCACTGCAGCACACTTCAGCATGTTGTGAAAAGCTACAATGCACATTAAGGAAATAAAAAAAGAGAAAAATTGCAGTGAAAAAGATAAAAAAAAACATTTACAGCAACGCAGCCTGTAAAAAAAGTCAGCGTAAGTACACTTAATGTGCACAGGTTGAATGTTAAAGCATTTCAAAGGCCAAACTTGTTTAGGTAAGTAAAGGGAATGGTTAAAACTAGAGGTGCACTGAAATGGAAGTTTCATTTTATTTTAAGAATTGTTTTACTTTACTGTCGGGGTCTCTTTTGAAATAGAAAGACAGATTGAGGACACAGAGTCCTAAAGCTCTTTTTCTGCAATCAACATTATGCATCTATACAGAGTGTTCCTGTCCATTCACAAGCTTACTATGTCCTCAATTATTTAGAAGCAATCAGCGATCAGCTGATCCATGAGTGTTTGTAACCAGCTCTCCATCCTGACTCGCTGTCACAGGAGGCTGGCCGAGCGGTGTGGGGAGGAGAGCTTGGCCACTTGTGACACCGCTGATAGCGGGCTCCTCCCTCTCACCAGCGGCTCGGCCTCCTGTGACAGCTGACTACTTCCTGCACTGCTCTCCATCCTGATTTGCTCGTCACAGGAGGCCGAGTGGGGCGATGTGGGAGGGGGCTCAACCTCCTGTGACACCGCTGACAGCCCTCTCCTCCCTGCCCCGCTCAGCCTCCTGACAGTTTCACTTCTCCCTGCTGGGTGCTGCTCTGTGTCAGAGGGGACACAGAGCAGCACCCATAGGGGAGGAGAGAAACCAGAGATGCACCGCATTTTCAGGCAAGAAAATTGTATTTTCTGCATTTTGCCCAAGTACCATTTTCGGCCAAAGTTTTGGCGCATCCCTAGCTAAAACCTGATAAGTTTCTTTTTTTTGCTGTATGTAACTTTACTTTATAAATGGAAGTGAGTGGTGATCTCTCCACAGAATGGGAAATCTCTCTTAGACAGTTATCACTGAAACAAATGTTCCCACTAGAAGAGTTCCCTCCTATTTCTGAACCAGTGAGGATATTTACAGTATAAATAGAGAGCATTTCTCCTGTGGCTTTAAATAATTAGGTTTAACTTCTAATGGGGACACGTACAGCGATAAAACCTAAAAAGACAGGGGTCCATACCCCTTACTATTCTATCCTTGTCTTGGCTTTAGCTTCACTTTAAACTGTATGTGTGTGTGAAGGAGAAGCACATGCACAGTAAAAACTGCTGAGTTCAGTGGAAAAAAATAGAAAGAGGGATTTTACAATTAAATTAGAGCTGAACAATATCTTGGCTTCCTTTTGTGCTTAGTTGGGTTCCTGACCCGCTACTGAGTTCCAATAATTATTTTCCTCTACATATCGCTCAGTTTGCTCTTATTACTGAGACAGAAATACAATACAATAGGAACAAATATACAACAAATGTGAAAAGTGAAAAGAAAGTGAAACAAATAGAATAAACCTTCTTTCCAAACACATAGAAATAAATATACAGTTTAAACTTACAGCATTTTTTTTGGTTTCTAAATGTAAACAACGAATCATGGCGTTAACATTTGTAGTACAGGTTTTCCAGTCCTTTCCGTATTCACTAAGATCACATTCAGGGAATATAGATGCCAAGAACTCTGCAAAGCAAAAAGAACCTTTACCAAAACTCAACAGACAAGTGAGATTCTTAAAGTGACAGGAACCATGCTTTAAAATCTTTCCTCTCCAGGTTTAATAAATGAACATATGAGTGTCAGTCACCATCAGCTATACTATAAGAGAAGTCCATTCATCTATATTAACCTTCCACACAAGTCAGTGCTGCTATATTATTTCATTTGTCATACTGAGCCTGATGAAGGGGACCCTGCGCAGCCCCCGAAATGCTGTGCTCTACATGTGACAATATGCGTTAATAAAGAATATGTGCTTTTTGGCACTTTCCTGCGGTGTGCTGGTGATTCGTTATATTATTTCAGATGCATCAGTGACCCAAAACCCTTTTTGCTTCACCCCCTCTGTTGGGGGGTTCTGTATACCAAAGTGAAGTGGGCTGAGTAATAATCTAATGTAACCAGTGCAAAGTGTGGCTGGTTTCTGCGTTAAACATTCATAACACTGTCCCACAGTGTCGCGCAGAAAGATATGCAGCCAACAGTGGCATCTTGCTTTACAAAAGCTAGTTATTGATTGCTGGGACACACTGGAGGTCTTCAGCTGCTCATGTGCTATGCTTGGCTCTGGTGTGTCCCTGCACCTTTAGGCAGGAATTCATTACCTCCAGGCATACATGCCTTTTATCTATTTATTGCTATATATGTCCTAGGTTGGAAGCTTTGTTAGATTAGGGATCACACTATACAGAGGGCCTTTGATGGGGCAGTGTGGCTTCCACAAAGATTTGCAAATATATGCTACTTATACCTCTGTATTTATTACACAGTGCTTAAGGAGTTCTGGCTATTTCTTTCATTTCCTTTTCTCTGTCAGTCACAGAAAAGCCTTTGCAGTGAGCTTATTGACTGGCACCCTTTAGAAGGCTGTTAGCTTACAGATTTTATTTCTGTGATACCTTATAGCTGCATTAATGCAGGTTTCTTTTAGTAATGTATTTTGGCCATGAGATCCACTTCAAGAGTTTGTACGATAAAAAATAGTATTTTCAATAAGATTTATCTTCCTTATTCACTGTGACTGGTTTTAAAAGGTTTTAATTTCCACCAAATACATTGTTGCAGTTTGTTTCTGCTACATCACAGATATGAGACAAAAGGCTTTTTTATAACATAGTTCTGTGAGCAACTACATGTCATGTGATCACAGAATAGACATATGAGAAACATGGCTACTGGTATGTGGATTATGCATGGCGATTACAGGTATTTATCAAAAGCTAAACCAGTCATAGCAATGGTGGCGAGCATAATTGTGTGTTCATGTTATATGCACGTTCCAATTCACACACATACCTCTTATTGCTGAAACTTTGTTTACATCAAGTCCTTGCACCTTGCCTCCTGTAGCACTGCTCAGTAATATGTCCTTAGGGAACAGGGCACGAACCAAGTAACGGGCTGCATACTTGGGCTGTGTTTTCTGTCTGGCTTTCACCAAAAAGCTTCCAGGGACTTTGATATTTCTACTTGGGTCCCCAAGAAATTCTATAATTGAATTAAAAGAATACTTAGCATTAATTTACATTACAAAAACATTATAGAGGGTCTGACAAAAATGTTTTTGCCTAAAGATAAGCTTTAAGGTTTCCTTTGGGGCAGATTGAATATTGTGTAACTGAAAAAACCCCTGCCAGACCCCCTCCCCGCCCCAACTGTCACCCCATTTAAGCTATTATACATGAAATGTGTCAGGTGGAAAATAACGCATGCCTCAAAATGTTCTGCTGTTTAGGGAGTGAGTGTATTTTCATGTTGAAGGCATGCAATGCAAACCAAACCCTAAGTTTAACTTTAAAGAAAATCTGTAATGAGAAAGATAAGCCATTGAGGACATTGATAAACTCTTGAAAATACCTGCTCCCTGGCTATATTGCTGACCTAATGGCTCTCCATTTTTGCATGCCTGCTCCATGTTAGTGGCGCAAAGTGCTAAAACCAAAGACAGTCAGGTAATAGTCTGGCAGTCATAGTAATTGCAAAAGGAGGCCAACATGGGCAAGCTCTTTTTTACTCAGTCCAATTATATGAAAACAGAACAGAAAGTTCCAGTAGTTAGGTCACTAGGGACTTTATTTACTATCAGTGAGATTCACCAATTAATGCTTCTGTCACTGCGAAACCCTGTGGAATGTAAATGTTGGGTACAGAACCAACTGCATATTTGCATACAGCAGTAGGTCAGTAGTCTCTGAACAATCGAGATAACAAGAGCTAGGCTAGGGTAGTTTAGCCAGCACTCCCATAGCTAATTTCTTTGCCAAGAAAAGGGCTCTAGTGACAAAATACAAGTGTCATTAGCTACAACCTCCTCATCCGAAAACTCAAGTATACATGCTTTTGAGTCATACTTAAAGTCTGAAAAAAGATGTTGATAGCAAGCAGTTTACAGTAGCTAGGGTTTATTATACCTGGTGTGCACAGTCGTATAGCCCATCAACACCAGATTATGGAAGCTTTTATGAATTAGTGTTCAATAGATATACCCCCTTTAACACTTTGCAACTCACCATAAATTGGGACAAGCTGAACTGAAGATGAAGGTAATTCCTCATTTGAGATAATATTTCTCTGCAGATTTACATGGGGCACCAAGACAGGCTCAGTTTCATAAATATTTTCTTTTGCTGCTTTGGAACACACAGATGATGTAGCCGGAGGAGTAGTAATGATTGGCGGTGAAGCACAAGTGCTTTCAGGTAAGCTTTCAATCTTTATGTCTCTGTGTTCATTCGTTGTTACACTAATGACCGGATGCAACGAGCGGGTTGACACAATAGTTGGTAGAGGTGGGCTTAACCTTTGAGTCTGTTGAGGTTCTCTTGGAACTGCTACTGAATGGACAGATTTAAAGGCTGGGCTGCCTGGGAGCTGCCTGTTTTCATCTTCCATCTGTCCTTTATTGTTTGGAATGCTTGGTGGACGCTGTGCAAATTTCGAGGAGAGAAAGCTTTGGTTTAGCTTTTGTAGTCTCAGTTTTGCTTGAGGTATGGCATGAGGACCTCTCTGGGAAAGGTTGATCGGTCTCTGGAGGTAGAACACAAAAAAAAGTTGGGTTTAGCTATTGTAGTCTCAGGTTTTGCTTGAGGTATGGCATGAGGACATCTCTGGGAAAGGCTGATCGGTCTCTGAAGGTAAACACAAAAAAAAGTAACATGATGTAAGCTGACCTTATAACACTAAAATCATTTTAGGAAGTCATCCCTTGAGGGGATAAACAATGTTTATGGCTTCTCAAAGTCAAACATGTGGAAAAAAAACACACATATGGAGCCACTCCTTCTCTGCGTGGGTCTGAATCCATCAGCTTCTACAATGTAACAGAGGCTCACCCTATTCTACTCTATATGAACTATTCTACTAATCAGTAAGTCTATCAGCGTGGGCATAGACACAACACTATCCACATGTTAGCTGTTTGTCCTGATGGTAAAGTGTTACCTGGTCATATTTAGTGATGTCCGCCTGACCTGGTTTTAAACCTGCTTTTCAATTACACAAGCACTCATTATGTCATTGATTAAATATGCATTAGTTTATTGCCATTCAGGATAAATATACCAAAACAAATATAATTAATTCACCAGAGAGTAGTTACACAATCCTTAAGAAGTCAGCTGCAAAATGTATCCTTTCCTGACCCCAGTTCTGATCCCCTAACCCAGTATAAGCAGCAACAAATAAAAAAGCTTATGTTTATAGTTTACATAGAGATATTTAATCCTTTCGCTGCCAAGGCATTTTGTAAAAAAAATTTTGCACACGTTATAATCCACATTGTGGGCCGGAAAATTACTTAAAACCCCCAAAACATTATATATTTTCTGAAAGCAAAGACCATGTAGAATAAAATGGTACCAGTTGCAAATATTTATGTTGCACAATATTAGCGCAACTCTTTATCAAACCCCAAAATTTAGTACAAAGTACACTTAAAGTGACATTAAACCCTCAGATTTTTTAACATAAAACAATAGTGTAATGTGTGCCCTGCTGTAATCCATGGTTGTTTCCCTTCTCTTTGCTGCTCTTCCTTTTTAATCCGTATCTCTTCTCATGCTCTGCAGAACTTCTGTTTTGCAGCAGACTGCCTTGTCTCAGGAATTGATACACGGTGTCTGTGTATACGTTTGTATAGGCTTGTAACCTGAGCCAGCACTACAGGAAGAGGCCCTGAGCTGAAAAGGGAAGTTCTTCCCAATCATGAGAAGACATGAGGATTTAAAAGGAAGAGCAGCAAAGAGAAGGGAAACAACAATGGATTACAGTAAGGCACACATTACAGTATTGGTTTATGTTAAAAAATCTGAGGGTTTAATGTCACTTTAAGTTCATTTTAGTGCTCAAAAACACAGTATAGTAGTTTTCTTTTGTAAAATATGAGGTTACAATGAGTAAATAGATACCCAACATGCCCAGGTAAAAAATATTGCGTGCGTCTGTGAACCTGCAACAAAATATGGTACCCCAAATTGTCTATAGGTGACATTTAAAAAGCCCCTACAGGTCATCAGTTTAGAGATATCCATGAATATTGGCCCTAGAATTATTGGTCTCGCCCTGGCGTGCGCAATGATACCCAACCTGGTTAGCATGATCGTCGATTTCATATGTAGACACACCCAATGCAAGTTTGCATTAATGCATGCGTGCTCACGGGGTTTAGGGACTTTCACAAAATGTATAGTTATTTTTACACTTATTTAATATAATTTTTAAAAAACTTTTTCAAATTTTTTTTTTAACTTTATTTAATTGCTATCACATAGGGGGGCTTACAAGCCCCCTTTGTGATAGCATATTGGTAGTGACAGCTACTCTTCAAGGTGACCGTAGGGGTCCAAAAGACCCCTAGTGTCACCTTTCCAGATCGTGCTCCAATAGCATATTGCTCGGCATCTGCAGCAGAGCAATGACAGCCACGGAACCGGAAGTGATGCAATCAGCATTGCTCCCGGTCCCATTCAGAGGGGAGGAGATCAGCAAACGGATGTTCGTCAGTGTTCTTCCATGCTTCTCGCCAACAGCGACATGCCAGTCCATGGCCCGCAGGAGGGGCAGTGGAGGCCGGAAAACAAGGTGGGGGCGCACTATCCCAGCCCCTGGAAGCAATCTGGTGGCAGTTGAGCCACCAGAATCGCTTCCATTGTAAACCCGACAGTTGGCTTTACAAATGTACACAGTATAAAGGGGTCCATTGCCACTGCTTGATGACATATGGCGGTGGCAGCGAAAGGGTTAATCTAATGATTTGAATTTTATATTTCTTATATTAGGTGCATACACTCACGGTTTTTGATTAAAATTGTAAACAGAAGCAAAATCGAAGAAATGATAAAAGTAATTAACATCCTATGTGATACAGCAACTAAGCATTTATGTAAATCCTGTGACTCACGGGTTTTAAGTGTGATTTCATCTGAGCATGGTGCAGCTCAGAGACTTTCCTCTGGAGAAGATCCATCTTCTTGTCTAGTTTCTGAACTATGTCATACATTGCCTAGAAGGACACAATGCCACCAGAAGTTAATCTACATTTCCAGCTACATAAATCTAATTAGCACTAAAGACAAAATAATGAATGCTTTACATTATGGTATTTTCAAATCATGTTTCCTCTGTATTATTTGTAAGTATATATGTACATGGAGCAGCCATGTTTGCTTAGTACATAGGGGTGTATTTATAAACAATTTGCTTAGCCATTCATCCTGTGTAACTCTGTGAACGTTAGTTTTTGCCTCCTTTGCATAGAACAAACGTTATTAATATCATTTCAAATGTAATATTAGGGTAGTATCACATTATGGCCACTAGATGGAACTGAGGAACATAGGAAACAAATATTTCTTTCCTCCTCAGCTCCATCTAGTGGCCAGAATGTAGTATTTTCCTAATATTTCATTTGACTATATTTGAAAATATACTAAGAACATTCATTTTTGCCTCCATTCAAATAGAACAAATGCTTACAGAGTTTCACAGGATGAATGGCTCTGCAAATTGTTTATAAATACACCCCTCAGTGTTTGTATATTATATATGCAGCCTCTGCCTCCTGCTTGGCATGTTTACATGGCAGTTGCATCCATCTGTCCCTCTCTCTCAATGAAAGTCTACCACACAGTTCTGACTGTAAAACATGCTCTCTCTGAGTGTGTGTTAACTGGGAAACGATCACTGTGAAATACAGCTCTCCCTCTAGTGGCTAATCTTGAAATTGTATATTAGGACATAGTAGAAATATGGAAAAGCAAGTCTGTAAACATGTAAATGCCACATAAAAAATTAAAGAACTCGGAGCAGAAATTTTATTAACCCTTGCAGTGGGGCTGCCTAGGGTCAAAAAAGTTATACTTACCCGAACTTCCAAGCCGGCAGCGCTTCCTCCTCCCTGTCTCCTCCTCCGCTGCAAGGATGCTATGCCCCTTGGCGTACTCACGTCTAATACGTATTGGATGTGATGACTTGAGGACTCCTAGACCACTGCAGTGGAGGGGGAGAGATGTTTAAAGGACCGGTCTAAGAGCTGGCCGGCTCGGAAACTCAGGTGAGTATAACTTGTTTTGACCCTAGGCAAAAACAGGCTGTTAACCCTTGCAGTGCGGGGGCAGCCCCTCTGCAAGGATTAATACCATTTTTGCCCAGAGTTCTTCTTTAACCTCTTGCCGTCCGCCCGTAGTAAAAAAACGGACGGACGGCACTGCTACATCTGCGGGTTGCCGTCTCCAGACGGCAATTTTTTTCTGCTCGCGCGCGCCCCCTAGCGACGGGCAGAAAAGACCCGACCGCTGCACACACCCGTTACCGGGTGTTTCACATATAGGCGATCAGCGGGTCCATAGCCCGCCGATCGCCTATATGTGCACAAAAGAAAGCTCTATCTGTCCCCAAAAAAGGGTATAAAATTCATTTCAGTACAGCGCTGCATGACGGAATAAATGTCAGTCAAAGTACCGCAGCGCTGAATACTGAAAAATGGCCTGGATGGGAAGGGGGTTTAACACCGCGGATGTCAACTGGTTAAAGGCGCTATATGATCTCTTCCTGAAAATCTCCACTATCATGTCCTGCTTCTCCTGTGCTTATGCACTGCCATCTCCATTTATTCCACTGGAAAGACTGTATGCAACCAGAATGAAGATTCATTTCAGAAGAAAGAGCCTGTGTGGCCTGCTTGGTGCTACACAGCCTCTTCTTAAAGGTGCCCATACACTGTGCGATTATCGCACGATAATCGCAGGAAATCCAGCGATCGTACGATAATCGCAAAGTGTATGGAAGGCGTGCAACCGTTTTTACTGTACGGTCGCACGTCTTTTGTCTGAGGAGCATGCTAGAAAACCAGCCGAGAATCGTACGATTTTCGGCTGGTTTTCAGCATGATCGTAAGATCAATGCCACACGGGCCGGTGTGCGCACGCGCACACTGCCCGTTCAGTATTGCAGTCATCGATGATAGCAAATACGATCTGCCTGTCCAAGATGGGCAGATCGTACGTTTTCTAATTACTTTACAACCATAGTCTTGCGATGGTTTTAAAGTGTATGGCCACCTTTACAATCCTCATTGGGTCCTGCTGCTCACTCACATGTGCACCACAATCTCATTCCAACAGAATATACACTCCCTAGGGCTGAGCAGGCTGCACACTCTACATCTCAGTGGAGCTGGGACAGGTAAGTATGTGGCTTGTCAGAGATGCTGATGGAGTGCACTGAAGCGCATTATAAGAAAATGCACTAAAAGTGAACTCATTCTTTAAATGTATGTAAATCCTAACCATGAACTTGTCTTATTTGCTCCCTTTTGGTCTGTCCATTATATCATCAGAAGCATTTTGTTATTTCAGTTTGATATGTGCAAAAAAAAAACCACATTGACTTTGTTGGAAATTCAGAGCTGTCCAGTGTGCCCTTTTTTTGTTATTTCAAACAGCCCTTCTTGTTCTTATTTTGGACTATACAATGAATAGCCTTCATGTTGCAGAGAACTGAGAGTGGAAGTGGTTGAGTAGCTTAGTAAAAGACAAATGGGAGGGCTGACAACACTCAGTCCATAAAAATGCTTTGTGTCATCAGCGCACAACAGGACTCAGGAGCTGAGTGTATTTTTACAGATCAACATGTATTTCTCTGTACTTCCAGAGTCCTTAAAAGAGAACTATGGGGTAAGTGTTTTTCCCCATAATCCTCTTTAGGGTCACGGGAGTACACATACTAACCTCCTCCCGTGACCCAAAGATCAGTATATAGCGGGCTATTGCCTGCGATATACTGGGAGCGCCATGGCTGGAACGCATCCCGACAATACTGTCGGAATCCACCCAGCTGCATGAGTGACAGCGTGCTCTGCCTATCTAGAGGCAAAGTCAGCTGTGCCCGCCCCCTCTCCCCCCTTCATTCCTCCAATCAGAACTGGGGGATCGGAGAGGGAAGGGGGGGAATCCCTGCGGGGAGCGTTGACTGATAGTCACCGCTCACTGCAGGGAGACGATCGGGAAGTGAGCGGATCGGTGCATGTTTCTGCTCACTTCCCGATCGATAGAGCCAACATGTGACAGCTTCTTTGTCACAGGTCGGCTCTAACTATGAGGATGAGTGGAAATCACTCACCTCATAGTTCTCCTTTAAAGGCATAAAACACAGGGAAATGTGCATGTATTGCAGAGATGTACTGCATATGTTATTTTTTATTTTGCCATGACATACGCTTTACGGTAAAACTGAAAAAATAATTCAAAACATGTGCTTACTGAAAATATTCTATCATTTCTAATTAAATTCAAAATAAAGGTTTTTTCCCCCTGTGCATGCTAGTTTAATTTGAAATCATTGGTTTCTGTACCTGGCAGTAGTAGAGTACATCTGTGAGTGAAGGCTGGTGATCTCCGGAATAAGATATATCTGACTTGACACTTGCCTGTTGCCAAAAATATTATAAATATATTAAAAGGAAATTATTAGTAAAGTGACATGTTTGTAGTTTGAAGTGAACCTTTAGCCTTCTAACTGGTAGTTAACTGACAGCAGGACTTTAATGCAGGCAACTCGAGTGCATTGTTCTTTTATGGAATTAGTGGCCCAGCACACTGAAAATCAGTGGGATTTTACTATATGAAACAGGGAACACATCTCTCATAGATGTAACTAGCCCCTTCAGGCTTACCTTACTCACTACTGGCCAGTAACACAACCCTTCACTCTGCAGCCAACAGAGAGATGTGGTTCTTGTTTCCATTAATAAAGACCCATGATCTAAACAAAGTGTGTCCCTGCACTAGGAGGTGTCTGCATTAATGTTCTGGATTACTACTGATTAGAAAGCAACAGTTATGCTTTTAAGTAAAATATCAATAAATATTGCTTAAATCCCAATTAAAGTTTCAGTTTATATCAGCTAAAATCATTCCACATGCATCAAAACAAAAGCTGTTGAAAGTCTGGCCTGGAAAGAGTAGAAAAGCTTGTCTCTTGTCGACATGGTGCATAGAGGGAACCTTGCGCTCTGTAAGAAAGCAGTGGTCTTTCTGCAGAGGTTTGACACCCCCCCTGGTGAGTCAAGAGCTAAAGCTCTCCAAACAGCAGGGAGCTTAAGCTTAGCTACTTGCAGAGCTATGGGTTTGACCTGGTGGAGACGGCTTTCTGGCCACAAGGTGACGAGGAAGCATTGAGCTGCCTTTCTGGCCAATCAGGAAGCCAGGGGGCAGGTAATGACTCGCCATCCGGCTTCCTGATTGGCCAGCTTCCTGACCGATCAGGAAGCCAGGCAGCGAGTCATTACACATCACCCGGCTTCCTGATTGGTTAGGAAGCCGTCTCCGTGCTCCCTCGTCACCAAGTGACGAGGGAGCATGGAGACAGCTTCCTGGCCAATCAGGAAGCCAGGGGGCAGGCGATTTCCCGCCCCCAGCTTCCTGATTGGTCCGGAAGCCAGCTCCATGCTCCCTGGTGACGAGGAAGCATGGAGCTGGCTTCTCTGCCAATCAGCAAGCCGAGCGGGGTGTAATGCCTTGTTGCCCAGCTTCCTCCTGATGCTTATCCTGATACCAGAAGTTCCGGTATCAGGATAAGCATCGGGAGCATTTGGGCGAGTATCGCCCAAATACTCGGTATCGGCATTGGTGCATCCCTACTATCTATCTCCAGCAAGGAGAAAATTTAATTACAAGCCCTTACATTGTTGTGTTCTTTTACTACATGGCAGGCTATTGCACTAACATCTTCAAACAAACTGTTAATTAGAATGATCTGCCATGATTTGATCACACAAGTATTCAGTTGTTCAGTTATTTACACAAGTATTCAGTTGTAATAAGAGAGTACCTGCACCTCAGCACCCCCCTACATGTGCTCTACATACCACTGTAAGTATATAAAGATGAAAGAGTAACTGCATAAAGCATAGATAGAGTGCAGGGGATACCTGACATTTCAACTTATGCCCTGTGCAGACTTCTGTAGTGAGCCAATCACAAACAAGAATGAAACAAGATTTCTGAAGATGCTGTGAGAACAAGGAGTACACATATCACAGCAGTGTTATGTTTTCCACAGTTTGAATTTATTCTGCTCTTCAGATATTATAGTTAGAGATTGAAACCAAGGAGTTACATTTTTAGGAACAATACATTACAAAATGGCTTCTGTAACAAATAGAATTTTTGGGGGGAGAAAACAGAGTTTTCCACATAAAACTAGTAACTACACATGGTGATTTTGTTGTTATGTTGTAGCACATAATACTTACACACTCATATTCTGCATCATACCCAAACTCAACACTGGTATCTTCATATTCTTGTTCTTGAATCTCCACCTGCACAACAATTATATTGAAAATTAATTAAAAGTCAAATATTTCTAATTCCTTATGTCACTAGAATCCAGCAACAGACCGATAACAAAACTGGCTGTCAGATAATACACAACAATCAGCCATAACATTATGACCACCCGCCTAATATTGAGTAGGTCCCCCTTTTGCTGCCAAAACGGCCCTGACCTGTCAAGGCATAGACTCCACTAGACCTCTAAAGGTATGCTGTGGTATCTGGCACCAAGCTGTCAGTAGTAGGTCCTTTAAGTCCTGTAAGTTGTGAGGTGGGGCCTTCATAGATCGGACTTTGTTTTCCAACACATTCCATGGATGCTCGATTAGATTGACATATGGAAATTTGGAGGCCAAGTTGACATCTCAAACTCATTGTTGTGTTCATCAAACCATTCTTGATCCATGTTTGCCGTGTGGCAGGGTGTAGTTGGTCAGCAACAATGTTTCGGTAGATGGTACATGTCAATATAACATACACATGAATGGCAGGACCCAAGGCTTCACAGGCAGAACATTGCCCAAAGCATCACACTGCCTCCGCCGGCTTGCCTTCTTCCCATAGTAGTGCATCCTGGTGCTTTCTCTTCCCCAGGTCAAGACACACGTGCTCCCAGCCATCCAAGTGAAGTAAAAGATAATTCATCAGACCAGGCCGGCTTCTTCCATTGCTCCGTGATTCAGTTCTTATGCTCATGTGCCCAATGTAGGCACTTTTGGCGGTCGAGACGGGTGAGTATGGGCACCCTGACCGGTCTGCAACTACCCACCACATACACAACAAACTGTGATGCACTGTGTGTTCAAACACCTTTTTATTAGAACCAGCATTAAAGTGACATTAAATCCTCAGATGTTTTAACATAAACCAATACTGTAATGTGTGCCTTACTGTAATCCATGGTTGTTTCCCTTTCTTTGCTGCTCTTCCTTTTAAATCCTCATGTCTTCTCATGCTTGGGGAGAACTTCCCTTTGCAGCTGACTGCCTCTTCCTGTAGTGCTGGCTCAGGTTGCAAACCTATACAAAGACACCGTGTATCCATTCCTGAGACAAGGCAGTCTGCTGCAAAACAGAAGTTCTGCCCAGCATGAGAACAGATACAGATTTAAAAGGAAGAGCAGCAAAGAGAAGGGAAACAACCATGGATTACACTAAGGCACACATTACAGTATTGGTTTATATTAAAAAAATCTGAGGGTTTAATGTCACTTTAACTTTTTAAGCAATTTGGGCCTGTTGGACTGCATACAGATTACTTGGTACAATCAGGTAGGTCCTCATATTACATAAATTTAGTACATCTAAAATTGAATGTACAAAGATTGTATGGTCAGGCTGCAATGTGTATGGTGACCCTTAGGTTCAAAAAAAACAAATGCTCAGTATATGCACTTTAATGATGTCAAGGATCTCATAAAGTTCCCATCATGTAGCTACTTTCTACTTTCTTGTGTGTTTTTCAGGAGCTCCCATTTAGCTTTTGTTCCTCATGGTCCCTGTGTGTGTGTTGATTGTTGTCCTGTGATGGACTACAATCTCATGTTTAGTTTACTAATTTGATTGTAGTCCATCATGGGAGCGAGTTTGGAGCTTGTGGAGGGTGGCTACTTTTCCTCCCCTTGGTCCCTGTGTGTGTTGAAAAGTAGCCACCCTCCAATAGGAAGGACAGTGTCAGCATGAATTCAGAGATGATTTGAGGATCTTGTGACTCCCCACAGCCCCCCCCGGGTACGAAGCATGTTTCCCTCTGTTCGAGGTGGCACACCCTGCTGCAGGGTTGGGAGGGATGCCTAACACAATGAGAGTTTTTCGGCCATGGACTCAACTACAGTCCAGTGATATACAAATAAGATACATTTTTATTAATAGTTGAGGTACTTGAATGCGTTTTTAAGATTTAACTCCTGAGTTTGAGTGTGAATAGGGCCTTACTAACAGGCCAGGCTCAAAAAGAACACTGAAAATAGTACCTGGACCCCAAAGTTCACCAACCAAGGGTCCAATGAGTTTACTATTTGGGGTGCTAATCCTTCCATGAAAAGCAGACACTGCCATATCTTTTCCTCTGCTTAGTGCATACTGCTTTCTGGCAGAAACAATGGGAAGAATGTATTCAAACTGGAGCAGACAAAAACTGGAGCAGCTGTGCATGGCAACCAATGAGCTTCTCTCTTCAGTTTGTTCAGTTAAGAAGAGAAGAGTATCAGAAAATATGTCCAAGATACATACTGTGTTGTCAGACATCATGGAGGCAACTCTTCTGCGTTTGTGTGGAAAGCCATAGTGAAGCTTCTCAGTAGTATTAACATCACTTTGCATGGTTAAGTGGTTGAGAGTAAATTTCAGTCCAAAGCCAGTCAGTGAAGATACATTCTCGCTCTATAAAGTGAAAGAAAACTGGTTAGATGCCCTCCCTCATGCTTCCTATTGTTTTAGCAGCAACACTTATATTAGGGACTGAAGTGAACTCAGTCCTTCAGCCTGTAAAAACATTAAATCAGGGATGGACAAATCCCAAATCCTAGGAGCCAGGTCTCTAGTGTTCCTTAAAATTACAGCTGGTGCCCAACATTTGAGGGTTTCTCAAGTCTTTGTCAATGGAGCTGACTCACAATCCATATTAATTTGGATTCCATATTAATTTGTCCACCCCTATCTTAAATGTGACATTAATAGGTTATAAAAGACATTCATGTTTGGCGTGGACCTAACCTAAATGATCCTGTAAATTCTTAAAAGCTACCTACATCAAATAAACGATAGGCAATTACTGTTTGCTTACAAGAGAATTCTATCAATTGAAAAACAAAGTGCCTCCATAAGATCTAGCTTTATATTACACCGTCTTATGTTTAGAACTGGAAATCGGATGTATCAGAGGTGGGCAACTCAGGCCCTCCAGCTGAGCTTTAACTACAAATCCTAACATGCTTCTGCCTCTGGGAGTCATGCCTGTAACTGTCTCACAATGCCTCATGGGATTTGTAGTTTCACAACAGCTGGAGGGCAGGAGTTGCCCACCCCTGCTCTACATGAACACAAAACAAACAGAAAAGGAAAGACCTACAAAAAAAGCATTTGTATAAGGTCAGCCTAGCTCCCTATAGTGTTCAATGATCTGTCCAAGCAATTTGCTCAGTTCAGCTTACTTTAAACAGAGTTGTTCACCAGCAGCATGGTCACTTTACCTGGGTGAGGGTGATATCACTAGGTCTCACTGTGGCCTCTTTTTCCCAGGGTTTCACACTAAGGTTTCAAACACAAGTGATGTCACTGGGCCTTGGTTAAAAGGCTGAAAACAGTGGTCCAAAGCAGGTGTAGCCAACCTCAGCACTCCAGCTGTTGAACTACAAGTCCCACGAGGCATTGCAAGACTCTGACAGCCACAATCATGACTCCCAGAGGCAGCAGAATGAGGACATTTGTAGTTTCACCAATGCTGTAGTACTGAGGTTTCCTACCTTTGGCCAGACACTATACTAGTTGAGTATACACTGAGTGGCCAGATTATTATAACCACCTGACGTTTGTAGGCAAATTAGCTATAATTTTGTGCTGAAGTTGCTAGAGGGCCAGACCATTATAAATAGGGAAGCAGGTTGTTTACCACGACAGTAAAAGTGATTTATTTCTGAAGATATGGGTAAACAACGCAATTTAACAGCCTTTGAACGTGGGATGATTGTTGGCGCTCTGAGCCATGGAGCGAGTATCAGCAAAACAGCAGAATTCGTTAAATGTTCAAGAGCAGCTGTTGTTAAAGTGTTTAAAGACTGGACTGCCAGCCGAAAATCTGGGTCTGAACGTGCGAATTGTGGCCGTCAGCGACTAGTAAATGTTAGGGCAGAACGGAGAGTGGCAAGACTGGTACAAGACAACAGAAGGGCAACCGTGCAGTGTCAGATTCCTCGCATCACATTTCAACATCTCGCGGAGTCACGAGGCGGACTAACAAAGTCATCTTGTGGCCCAATGAAGTACTGATGGGGTGGTCATAATAATCTGGCCACTCAGTGTACAATCTCCTTTAGACCTACCATCAGTAATGTAGCGCAAGGGCCTGCCTGATTTATTACAACCTGAACGGATTGTCCTAATATTACAAATGTTTGGTCAATCTAAAGTGGATTGTACACTTTAGATCGACAATCTGAAAGAGGAGGGGGAAATGATACATGAGGAGGTAGCTGTGTGGGGATGAATTGTTTGAGAATGTGAAGGTTCAGTGGTTAGGTTGAGGTGGGATAGGCTTCCCTGAAGAGATGAGTCTTCAGGGAACGCCTAAAGACAGTCAGGGTGGGAGATAGACGGACAGGTTGGGGTAAAGAGTTCCAGAGGATGGGAGAGACTCTAGAGAAGTCCTGGAGGCGAGTATGGGAGGAGTGGACAAGGGAGCTGGAAAGCAGGAGGTCTAGGGAAGAGCGGAGTGGACGGTTAGGGTGATATTATGTTTTAAACATAACATCTTGTTGTACACTGTATGTGTATATATAGTCGTGGCCAAAAGTTTTGAGAATGACACATATATTCATTTTCACAAACTCTGCTGCTTCGGTGTTTTAAGATCTTCTTGTCAGATGTTACTTTGGTATACTGAAGTATAATTACAACATTTCATAAGTGTCAAAAGCTTTTATTGACAATTACAGGTGAAACTCGAATAATTAGAATATCGTGCAAAAGTAATTGCAGTAAGTGCTGCAAAAGGGGACCAAACCAAGTACTGAGTACATATGCATGCTTGTACTTTTCAGAGGTCCGATATTGTTCTATGTACAATCCTTGTTTTATTGATTGCATGTAATAATCTACTTTTTTGAGGTTGTGGATTTGGGGTTCTTGGGGTTTTCATGAGCTGTAAGCCATAATCATCACAATTATGACAAATCACGGCTTGAATTATCTTGCTTTGCATGTAATGAGTCTATCTCATATATTAGTTTCACCTTTTAAGTTGCATTAGTGAAATAAATGAACTTTGCACGATATTCGAATTATTTGAGTTTCACCTGTACATGAAGTTTATGCAAAGAGTCAATATTTCTTATTCAAGACCTGGCATGCTGTCAGTCAACTTCTGGGCCACATCCTGACTGATGACAGCCCATTCTTGCAAAATCAATGCTTGGAGTTTGTCAGAATTTGTGGGTTTTTTTTTTGTTCAACCGACTCTTGAGGATTGACCACAAGTTCTCAATGGGATTAAGGTCTGGGGAGTTTCCTGGCCAAGGACCCAACATTTCGATGTTTTGTTCCCCAAGCCACTTAGTTATCACTTTTACCTTATGGCAAGGTGCTCCATCATTATGGAAAAGGAATTGTTCATCACCAAACTTTTCTTGAATGGTTGGGAGAAGTTGCTCTTGGAGGATGTTTTTGTACCATTCTTTATTCATGGCTGTGTTCTTGGGCACAATTGTGAGTGAGCCCACTCCCTTGGCTGAGGAGCAATATGAATAGTCTCGGGATGCTTTACTGTTGGCATGACACAGGACTGATGGTAGCACTCACCTTTTCTTCTCAGGACAAGGTATTTTCCCGGATACCCCAAACAATCGGAAAGGGGATTCATTAGAGAAAATGACTTTACCCCAGTCCTCAGCAGTCCAATCCCTGTACCTTTTGCAGAATATCAGTTTTTCCTGGAGAGAAGTGGCTTCTTTGCTGCACTTCTTGACATCAGGCCATCCTCCAAAAGTCTTCGCCTCACTGTGCGTGCACAGTCTCACTCAATGCACTCACACCTGACTGCTGCCATTCCTGAGCACGCTTTGCACGGGTGGTGCCCCGATCCTGCAGCTGAATCAACTTTAGCAGACGGTCCTGGCCCTTGCTGGACTTTCTTGGGCACCCTGAAACCTCCTTCACAACAATTGAACCTCTCTCCTTGAAGTTGCTGATGATCCGATAAATGGTTGATTTAGGTGCAATCTTAGTAGCAGCAATATCCTTGCCTGTGAATCCCTTTTTGTGCAAAGCAATGATGACTGCACGTGTTTCCTTGCAGGCAACCATGGTTACCAGAGGAAGAACAGTGATTTCAAGCACTACCATCCTTTTACAGCTTCCAGTCTGTAAAGGTGCCCACATACAGGAAATCCCGCGATCGTACGATTATCGTAAGGTGTGTGGAAGCCGTGCGACCTCTACTACTGTAAGGTCGCACAACTTTTATCTTACAAACATGTTCGAAAACCCGCCGAGCATCGTGCGATGTTCGGTGGGTGTGTAGCATGTTCGTAAGATAAAAGCCGGACGTGCCGGTGTGTGCAAGCGCACACTGCCCGTTCGGCATTGCGGTCATCGGAAGCCCGCCCCTCAGGGGGGCGTGGTTTGCGATCATCGCAAGTACGATCTGCCTGTCCAAGATGGGCAGATCGTACGTTTTTTAAATTACCTTACAACCCTCGCAAGACAAAAGTCCTGCGATGGTTGTAAGGTGTGTGCCCAGCCTTATTCTAAAGGTGCCCATACACCTTACGATTATCGGACGATTTTCGTATGCGACCGACTTTTCGTCCGATAATCGTATGTGTGCATTGCAGTGTCCGACCGACATTACTGTACAATCTTACGACTTTTGACGGTCAAGCATGTTTGGAAACTTTGCTAGATCGTACGATTGTCGTAAGGTTGCTGGCATTTCCGTCCGTCAAAAGTCGTACGATCTACACTGCACATGCGCGAACGAAAATACGACAAATCAATTACCGCATTTCGTCCAGGTGCTTCTCGTTAATTACGGCTAAATGAATCTTGCGATCATCGGGGCAGGATGGGGCTGCCGTACGAAAATCGTACGACTATTCGATCATCGGACGAAAAGTTTTGTCCGATAATCGTAAGGTGTATGGGCACCTTAACTCAATCAGCATGACAGAATGGTCTCCAGCCTTGTCCTCGTCAACACTGACACATGTGTTAACGAGAGAATCACTGATATGATGTCATCTAGTGCTTTTGTGGCAGAGCTGAAATGCAGTGGAAATGTTTTTTTTTGCAGATTAAGTTCATTTTCATGGCAAAGAGGGACTTTGCAATTAAAGTGACATTAAACCCTCAGATTTGTTAACATAAACCAATACTGCAATGTGTGTCTTACTGTAATCCATGGTAGTTTCCCTTCTCTTTGCTGCTCTTCCTTTTAAATCCTCATGTTTTCTCATGCTGGGGGAGAACTTCCCTTTGCAGCTGAGTGCCTCTTCCTGTAGTGCTGGCTCAGATTGTGAACCTACACACAGACAGCATGGGGTTGATTTACTAACCTTATAAACCCACCACAAACAAGTATACACCTCTGTAGTGTGTTCCCTCCCAGCATGATCAATGGGTGGAATCTAGACACATGCTATTAGAGCGTCATGTAGCCTATGGCGTATTCTACATGACGCGCACGTACGTAAATACATAAAAACGCGCCATAACGGCGTGAAAATGTGACACGTTGCTCGTGTTTGGTTGATAAATACGTTTTGCTGTGTAAAAATGCACACGCACCTGGTGCGTGCGTGTGTTTAGGTTAGTAAATCACCCCCCATGCATCCATTTCAGAGACAAGGCAGTCTGCTGCAAAACAGAAGTTCTGATCAGCATGAGAACAGATACAGATTTAAAAGGAAGAGCAGCAAAGAGAAGGGAAACAACCATGGATTACAGTAAGGCACACATTACACTATTGGTTTATGTTCAAAAATCTGAGGGTTTAATGTCACTTTAATTGGAAATTGATCTGATCACTTTTCATAACATTCTATGCATAAAAGTATATGCAAATTGCCATCATACAAACTGAAGTAGCAGACTTTGTGAACATTAATATCTGTGTCATTCTCAAAACGTTTGGCCACGGCTGTACAGTATAAACCAGGGATAGGCTACCGCGACATGCCAGCTGTGGTAAAACTACAAATCCTGTCATGCCTCTGCCTCTCAGAGTCATGCCTGTTGTTGTCAGAGTCTTGCAAAGCCTCATGGGACTTGTAGTTCCACCACTGATATAAACAATCATGGCATGACATGCTGTAGTTGTCCATAAATAGATTAATATATAACCAGCTTATAAAACGACCCAAGGAAAGGCCACAATGGTATGCAGGCCTGAGGAATGACAGACACACATCACCCATGTCCCTGGAAAGCAAAGCACAGTAGTAACCTATGCAGTGTCTGCCAATGTAATGTACACAGGTAGGTTTACGTAGAGTGAGGAGGAAATGACACGTACACTCTTCTTTATTGGTACAGACAGCCCTCACATTACACTCCCTGACCATCCACTATACATTGGACACTATTACACCAACACTGCTCTTCACACACAGGGGGAGGAGCCCGTCGAACTTCGCCCCGCCTACCAACAATCACCTACAAAATAACTAACCGGTGTGGGGGGGGGGCTGCGAATCAGCGGCGCTCGGTTCACGTACCTGGGCTATCAGATGATCAGCAGGAAAGCTCGGCGACGCTCTCCTGCCGCCCGCTGATTGGACGATTAGTTCGCCAACAAACAATGGGGGAAGGGGTTAAGTCTTCTCATTGGATACACTGGCATCATCGACGTCATCACGTATAGCCGTGGTCGCACGGGAGGACGTGCAAGAATCTGACAGCGGAAAACCTACAACGCCCTCAGAGTCTTCCGCCATCTAAACAGAGGTAAGATGTCGCCTCCTAGTGGTCGTTTTGCAGCACAACATGCCACCGCATAAGAAATATTACTTATTTATGTATGTGATTATTTAATTTATTTATTACAGGTATTTATATACAATTTACACAGTGCTTTACATCAACCTAGTGATCATTTAGCAGCATAACACTGCATAACAAATGCATTATTATTACTACTACTACTAATAATAATATTAATAATAATCAAAATGATTATTATTAACAATAATAATAATAACAACCTAGTGATCATTTAGCAGCACAACACTGCATATCAAATACATTATTATCATTACTAATAATAATATTAATCATCACCACATTTATTATTATTAATATAATAATAATAATAATGCATTTGTTATGCAGTGTTGTGCTGCTAAATGATCACTAGGTTATTATTATTATTATTACTAATACTACTACTACTGGTACTAATAATAATCATCACCACATTTATTATTATTAATATAATAATAATAATAATGCATTTGTTATGCAGTGTTGTGCTGCTAAATGATCACTAGGTTATTATTATTATTATTACTAATACTACTACTACTGGTACTAATAATAATCATCACCACATTTATTATTATTAATATAATAATAATAATAATGCATTTGTTATGCAGTGTTGTGCTGCTAAATGATCACTAGGTTATTATTATTATTATTACTAATACTACTACTACTGGTACTAATAATAATCATCACCACATTTATTATTATTAATATAATAATAATAATAATGCATTTGTTATGCAGTGTTGTGCTGCTAAATGATCACTAGGTTATTATTATTATTATTACTAATACTACTACTACTGGTACTAATAATAATCATCACCACATTTATTATTATTAATATAATAATAATAATAATGCATTTGTTATGCAGTGTTGTGCTGCTAAATGATCACTAGGTTATTATTATTATTATTACTAATACTACTACTACTGGTACTAATAATAATCATCACCACATTTATTATTATTAATATAATAATAATAATAATGCATTTGTTATGCAGTGTTGTGCTGCTAAATGATCACTAGGTTATTATTATTATTATTACTAATACTACTACTACTGGTACTAATAATAATCATCACCACATTTATTATTATTAATATAATAATAATAATAATGCATTTGTTATGCAGTGTTGTGCTGCTAAATGATCACTAGGTTGTTGTTGTTATTACTATTATTATTTTAATTAAAATATCTTTGGTAAGTCTGCATTGTTAAAATGTGTCTGTAGAAAAGTAGTATTATTGTAAAGAACGTATCCTAACCTGCACCGCTTCTTCATTTTTAAAAATTAAAATATTATACTTTTGCTCTGTCACATGCCACGGGTATTTTTGTTAATTGGTTATATTCAATTCGGAGATGTGAACCTGAAATAATTGTATGTTGGGTTGAAAGGATTTTTGCACACTTATTAAAAGTGGTTACAGTTTATGTGAAGCCTAAGCACAGTAAGCATCAGGAAAACTGCAATAATCATGCTAAAATAATGAAATGTTAGAATTTTGCTGAAAATATATATTTTAAAGGTTTTTAGTGGTTGTCACGTGCAGGACTCGGGGGGGCTCTTCTTCCTCTAGGCCCCCCCCCCCAACAGGCGGAACGCCAAGGCCCGGTCGCAATTGCGACCGCTGCGACCCGCCAGTGCTGGAATTTGTAGTCCTGTATAGCTGGTGGTATTCTGCATTCCTGTATAATCATTATTCAGGAATGCAGAATACCACCAGCTATATATTTTACATAAAATCAGCAATACTTCCACACCAATGAGAGGCTGAGGAAAGGGGGATTATAAAAAAAATGAAGGAACGCTAAACTGTAAATAAGCGATTTATGTTATAAATGGTTTTTACGCTGTGTTGGTGTTTGTGATAAAATGATACAGGCGTATATTTAATTACAACACAAGGTATTACAACGCACAGCAATGCATCACAAAGCTTTGCCATGCGCTGCCACAGTTAAATTAATGTTTTTTTACGATAGAAAAAAATCATGCACTGCGATGCGTTCTAACAACGCACTGCAGCTCATGTGCCTGGCGTACACCACAATATGGTGCACGTGTATGTTATGTGTGTTTTATTTACTTATTTTTAATTTATTCTTTAATTATTATTTATTATTAATTTACTGTTGGAGGGGTTTGGGGGAAATAGTAGGGGTCTAACATGACATTAGCCCTAACATGACCCCTGACATTTCCCTTTTGAAATAGAAAAAGACATTGAGGACACAGAGTCCTCAATGTCTTTTTCTGCAGCCTCAGCACTCAATGAATGGGAAGCACTCAGTACAGAGGCTTCCCATTCATTCACAAACTGCTGATAGTAAGATATTTACTATCAAGCAGTTTCTCAATGGGGAGGAGCCTCTGTACTGATGCTTCTCCCCATTGAGAAATTCATGAATGAAGGTAAGGGGATGTAAATCACAGCCTGTTCATTCATAACTGGGGACACATAGTACTATGTGTCCCCAGTTATTTACAAACACTGGAGTGATCGGGACGATCACTCCAGTGTTTGTGCTGTACACGGAGGATCGGTAAATATCAATGATACTCACCGATCCTCCGCAATCCTCCATCCCCGGCTGCAGGGGCCCGGAAGCCTCCTCGCACTTCCCGAGCCCCTTACTTGAGTATCGGCCCTACCCCCCTGACGGCGGCCCTGCCCAGCATATAAATACAGAATAAGTACTGATACTCAGAATTACACCCAGCATATAGATACAGAATAAGTACTGATACTCAGAATTACACCCAGAATATACAGTAGATACAGAATAAGAATTGATACACAGAATTACACCAAGTAAATACAGTAGATACAGAATAAGAACTGATACTCAGAATCACACCCAGTATATACAGTAGATACAGAATAAGTACTGATACTCAGAATTACACCCAGTATATACAGTAGATACAGAATAAGAACTGATACTCAGAATCACACCCAGCCTATAGATACAGAATAAGAACTGATACTCAGAATTACACCCAGCATAAAGAAACAGATTAAGAACTTATACTCAGAGTTACACCCAGCCTACAAATACAAAATAATAACAAATATTGATAATTACATCCAGCACACAGAACAAGAGATATGGCACTGTGCCATGTCCATACATACACAAAGGGTTGCCACATTTCTGGGGAAAAATATTGGCCTTATGGTTTCTTTCCTATGGTTAATATTGACAACATACACATAAGAACACATACTGAGAATGCGTACAGCATACACAACAAGGGAGGCAATACTTTCCTCTCAATCTCCTTAGTTTGTTTTGTAGCCCCTGTGTCTGCTCCCATGCTATAAGTAGGACTCTCACTGGAGTTTGCTACAAGCTTATTAGGGTGCATAGCATTGAGCAGAGGGCTATCGGAGATTGTTAAAAGGAATGAGCAAATATGCCTGGGCTCGGTTCGCTGGGTTTTCGTCAAATCCAAGTAGTCCAAAAACTCCAAACCTAAAATCGAACCCCATTGAAATTCATAGGGTGAATCTTGGTAATCAATTCTGGCCATTATCACTGCTAATAGGTAAGGGATTTTTTTAAAAAGGGCATTTTTAGTAGGGCACTGCCATGGGGGACATATACCAATCCACAAAAGAGAATTTAAAATACGTACAGTGGTCAGTGTTTAAAGACTGGACTGTCAGCCGAAAATCTGGGTCTGAACGTGCGAATTGTGGCCGTCAGCGACTAGTCAATGTTAGTGCAGAACGGAGAGTGGCAAGACTGGTACAAGACAACAGAAGGGCAACAGTGCATCAAATTACTGGAGATCTTAATCAGGTATCCTCTCAAATGATCTCTGAACGCACTGTTCACCGTACACTGCATCGTATGGGATTTGGAAGCCAAAGGTCTGTTCAAACACCTTTGCTGTCTGCAGTTAACAAGATAAAATGTCTCCAATTCGCACAGGAACACAAGGATTGGACAGTCGAGCATTGGAAAAAAGATGAATCACGTTTCCAGTTGCATCATGCAGATGGCAGAGTGAGAATTTGTCGGGAACAGCATGAAAGCATGCACCCCCACATGCATGAGTACAACCCTTCAAGCTGGTGGGAGCAGTGTTATGGTTTGGGGCATGTTTTCCTGGCATGATTTGGGCCCTTTAATTCGTGTGGAACAACGTCTGAATAGCACAACATACCAAAGTATCGTTGCTGATCAAGTTGATCCTATCATGTTATGGCGTATCCCAATGGAGATGGCTTCTTCCAACAAGACAATGCGCCATGCCACGGTGCTCGTATTGTGCAGGAGTGGTTTCAAGAACATGAGGGAGAATTTACCTTGCTTAGGTGGCCCCCACAATCACCAGATCTCAATCCAATTGAGCATTTGTGGGACGAAGTTGAAAGAGCCATCAGGCAGCTGGTTCCACAACCATCAAATCTCACAGAACTGGACAGTGCTATTCATCAGGCATGGTGTCAGATTCCTCGCATCACCTTTCAACATCTCGTGGAGTCAATGCCAAGAAGAATCGCCGCAGTATTGAAGGCAAAAGGTGGCCCAACGAAGTACTGATGGGGTGGTCATAATAATCTGGACACCCAGTGTATGTTTATAGAACCTAGACATGGATATGTAAAATAAATATATTTCCTCTTGGAGGATTGGACGCCCCACAGTTAAGAATACATACAGATTCATGCAACACTGTACTAGATGGTCTAGATGTACTAGATGGTCTTGTGCATATACAGGATCAACGTGGATGATATGTATTCAACAT